TACAGGTGGTATTCTATGAGGTACTACCTATGGTATAATATAATAAACTGCAATAGATTCTTTAAGGTATATAAAGGTGTTAGTCTGTAAGGTGTTCTATAGGCTGTTCTCCTACATCTATGTCTTCTTTTATCTAAAATTATTCAATATGCCACAGTTTCATGGGTCAATTCTCAGATGTTTGCTTCCTCCTGATTTTCCCTATGCAAATCCTTATCTGTAAAAATTTTCTATAAGGTATTCTACGAGGTATTCTACAGGGCATCTGCAAGGTATTCTAAGTGGTATTCTAAAGGGTATATGCAAGGTATACAGAGGTAAGGTACAATCCGCTATCAAAATGAATATGGTAAAGTGGAAGGACGTGCAGTCACTGAGGCCAGTACCTGAAGCAGGTGCAAAAACCACAAAAACCCCCCCCCCCAAAAAAAAACAACAAAAACCAAAAAAACCAATCTCCCGACCACATAGGTAGGATGGCTCTAGGAAATATGGACGGAAGATTTTTTTGGTTTTGTGTTTTTAATTTCATTTGGGCTGTGCACTTCTGCCTGTGAGCTCTTAGGGAGTACTTTGCGATTGTTGATGTGTTGATGACGGTTATGGATCTCAAGGCTCAATGCAACTAGCTTTACAACTGTTTCGAGCTATACTTGCGTCCCGAAAAATATAATTTCAATGAGGGGCTAATATATGCAAGATGCAAATGTGTAAAAACGCAGGGGCGCAGGTATTCCCCGAAACTAATTTTTCATTATTTTTCATCAATTTTCATCAGTTTTCATCATTTTCATCACGTTTCATCAACTTTCAGCAGTTTTTCATCATTTTTCATCAGACGACGAAGGCAAGAAAGAAAGGAAGGAAGAAAGGAAGAAAGAAAGGAGGAAAGACAGAAAGACGCGAAAGTAGCAAGCCAGAACGACATATATCATTTTTGAGGAGTTTAGACTGCATGTGACCACGTATTAATGATACTAAAAATTATTATACTTATAATAATGAATGAAGGGGGTCTCCACCCCCTCCAATTTTTAATTTAGTAGTGATGATAATAAAATAATATTCATCGTAATAATACATGGGGGCGGGCTCCGTCTTTTCCGCAACCCCCCCCCGCTTTTTATTAAGCCGAACACGCACGCGGTCGAATTCGATTCCACCAACTCTAAACCCTAAACCCTAAAAAAACTCAAGCCCTAAACCCTAAACTCTAAACGTTAAAGCCAAATCTCTGGACCCTAAGCCACATGCCTAAGTGCTATAATGTTCGCTAAGAACCCCTACAGCTACACTGTTTCCATCACTTCACACACAATTTGAGCAGAATCTAAAAACTTCTTGTCTTCAAGCCCACGATAGCAAATCCTTGCGGCGCTTGCCGCTCCTGCAGTCCGAAGACCAAGAAAGGGCCGGCGGCCAAAACTGAACAGTTTCTTGTAGTCTGTAGTCCCCAGCCGTGAAGCCCTCAAACCCCAACCCTTGTGGCTTTCGCAATATTACAATGTTTTTTTGATCCTCGGCCTTGAACCGGCGAGCCCCAATCCTCGAACCTTTCGCCATTTTCAAGGATTTTGTTTTTTTCTGATCCCCCCAGCTGTTTTGGAAGGCAGTGCATGCCTGCCATCGCTCATCGTTGTACATCAGGGCTGCGCCCCCCCCACCCCCCCCCCCGCTGTTTTGTAAGGCAATCCATGCTTGCCATTGCTCGCAGTTCTACATCATATCCGAATGGAACACCATTTTTCTTAGGCGTTTTTTGTTTTTTAATTTTGTTGTTGTAGAAATAATGCAAACTACAGCATTTGGAATTCTTGAAAGGCTGCCAATACTGCAAACTACAACATGTGCGGCTTTTGAAAGGCCAGGAATACTGCAAATTGCAGCATTCGGAGTTCTGGAGAAACTGCCAAGACTGCAAATAACAATTTTTTGGGGCTCTTGAAAGGCTACGAATACTGCAACTTGCAGCATTTGGAGTTCTTGAAAGGCTGCTAATACTGCAAATTGCAGCATTTGCGGGCTTTCGCAATTTTCCATGTTTTTGATTTTTTTTTGATCCTCGGCCTTGAACCCGCGAGCCCCAATCCTTGAAGCGTTCGCCATTTCCACAGGATTTTGATTTTTGTTTGATTCTTGTTTTTGATTTTTTTTGATTGCCGGTTTTGATTTTTTTGATCCTTATTTGATTTTTTTTGATCCCTCACCCCGTTGTTGACGCTACAACTGGTAGCACCTCGTATCCACAGACCACGGAACCTCCCTGCGAAGATACGGAACCTAACATTACTAGACCCCCGTAATCTTTGCTATGCCAACGCCCTCGTGCTTGCGTGGTTGCGGATTTCAGTGAATGACCCAGGTGAGCTCCAGATGCAGTTTGGCAGATGCGCAGGCCATGATTGCACTCATTCTGGCACATGCTCAGCGTATCTGCGCATTGCAGATGTTAGCTTGGCAACCCATTTGGAGAGGTTGGTCCCGGCCTCATCTCCAGCAAGACGCGCAAGAATTCGTGCACATGCGCGCGGATGAAACCACACCCATCTTCTTGGGGATGTGGGAGGCGCGGCGCGTGTGGGATTTTATGAGGGAGGGTACAGATGCGTAGATGGGGGCGCTACGGCGCAAGGCATACCCATCACACTTCCCGGAAACCCTGATACCCTAACAAATTGAGTAAAAGCTTGGTGCCTACAGAATCATAAGCATGCGCTCACCATACCGCGACGATGGTTGTGCCTACACATGCTCAGATTAACAGCAGACACTGCAGGCACGGTGAGGAAATCCGAAGTCACCATTGGTCTCCAGACAGGGGAAATCATACATATACCTTTTGTTGCCAGTAACGCCCAACTTGAGTGGATACCGTACAGAGTGACATCCGGTGTCATGCAGATAGGACCAAATACCCAAACAGGCCACTATACCGCGGATTCTTTGCTAAGGAATACGCAAGCGGTGGTCATCGCGCCTTTCACCGGTTTAGGATCACTGATAACAACTCCTCATCCCAAGTTGCAAGTGCTACACAAAACCTTCAAATCCAGCAGCTGTGCTACCTCTGCATGCTTCCTAGTTTGCTCGGATCGGAGATGGGGAAGGCAGTCAAACTAGACAGTTCCAGGGGAGCCGGATGGGATGTGGACCCGCACCATCCATGACAGCTTGGGGCAAAAAAGAGGGAAGTGCGTTTTTGTCCAATCAGTTATAGCCCCCACTCCACTGTTTGGACGGCATATACAGCCGAATATTCCTCGAGTGCGGTCTCCGCGCGTTGCCTTGTAGTGTGCAATTCGTCATCCGAGACTGGGCGCCTCCCGTCGCATGGGAAGGCGTAGTAACTCGTCATGGGCACAAGCTCCATTTTGAGTCAGCTTCTTTTCTTAGGTGCCCCGCACGTTGCGGGGAGTTTTGGTTGCCGTCTTGAGCGGCCGCATGATAACATGCGTTAGCCGCGGGGCCGCGCTAGGTGAGTTCAACTCGCTGCGTCCGCAAAGCAAAAATAGCAAAAATACAACTAACACTTCGAAATCTACCCCTTTGTCCTTTGCTCTGTAGATGGCTGTTTAGCCTATCAAGGATTCGCTCTTTGATGGTCCTCGATATGACGTCGGTGAGGTTAACCTTCGTGTATGGATAGTTTTTCACGTGCAAAAATTTTGAGGTTCACGGAGATGGGGAGCGAATCCATGATAGGCATTAACATGCATCAACGACAGCAACCGTACCGTGTGGAGCGTAAAGGGCAGTTTGCAAGCCAGGACGTGTGGTGTTGGCGATGTCTGTGAGGACCTTCGCGTCAGAACGAGCATATTTATTCCGTGCATGTGTAGCGCTCTATTGGACTGCAAATAGATGGCAGGCTCCTGCAGCACCGTGCACGACGTGCTTACCGGCCGCATGGAAGGATGCTTGCTGTATTTCTCGCGCGGTTTCATGTAAGGGTGTTGCAATCAGGCATCCGCAGAATGTTCGGGCCGCTGGGAAGCCACGCCGTATTCTGTTGACAAGCACCAGCTGGAATTATGCAACAAGAGGAAAGTTGAAATTGGCAAACAATCGTCAATGAAGTTTCTGTCAATGTTTTCGTCTCATGGACGAACTTCTTGTCATGGGGTGCTCCCTCCAAATGAATGACCCTTTCAAAACAAGGTTAGGGCATACTGGCGTTTGTTGTGGGTTATTGAGGCTTATTGATCTCCAATAATTTCCCCTTCCAGGGACAATTTCCTCGGGCTCCATGATTTCGCAGCCGCAGTAATGATGACATTTGCCCGGTTTTTTGCAGATGTTGCGGAGCTTGATTTTCCTGCTGTTTCACGATTTGGCAAGTGGTCATGTTTGTTTGCATTGTGCTGCAACACGGGGTGGGCCGGGAAGTCCAACTTTTTCATCGTTCGCCTGGTGATGAGTGGGATGTTTTGGCCCACAGCATTGTTGCCTTTGCGGGCATTGGTGGACATGACACATCTGAACCATGTGGTTAGAAGCTGTCTGCTTTGATGAAGGCCTTAGAACTACAACAAGTGCGCGACATAATGCACACCAGGCGCTCACCGTTCTTTGGAGTGTGCACTCAGAAAGAAAGATGCGCATGACATACTATCACACGACAGTTTCTGCTCAGTCCAACGTGTTCGCTTCTACAAATTTATACTAACCTACAGCACACGTTCGCTCGTTTTCAGTTACAGCAATGGTGGATGGCGCGAGCTCCCGAATTGGAAGCACGAAGCCAGCCTTTGTCGAAAGCCGCTGCCTCAAGCCCGACCTTCTGCTTCTGGTTCAGGCGTTTTAACTTTCTGGAAGTCCATCAACAACTCGCCTCCAGAAACCTGATTCGAGCAGGGAGGGGACCATCCTCAGCTTTTACATGAAGATCCTGTCAAGGGTTGGGGTGTGTTGTTGGATCAACATACATGGTCCACAACAGTCAATGTTGTGATTGCCTCATTGATGGTTTACTTGGAAACGGAATTCACGGCTACGCTCTACGCCACTTGCGCAGTCGGAGCTCCTGGCTGCTTGCCGCGGCTTTCAAACCGGACGTCGCTTGCAGAATCGAGGACGCTGGGCAACGACAAGCTTCAGATGAGTCAAACAAGATTGGTAAGTGTTAGGTTTAACTCTGCCGAAGTGTAATAATTTTCTTGCCGGTCCGCCCAGTCTTGTTTTCTTGATATCATTTTGTTAGTCATAACCGGTCATAACCCACGTAAAAGCTGGGATACTGTGGATGCCGCATTTTCAAGGTGTTGTTGTTGTCAAACAGGCTACGTGCAGGGGAGGCACCTGTCATGTGGGGCGACTGGTTGCCTCCTGAGCTTTTTGTGCATACCGTCCTCGTTTGAAGCCATGCCCAAGGGAATGCTTTTGCACCATTGGCGTGTCTGTGCTTTTCATTCGTAGATGTTTCCAGACAGGCGAAGTTTTCCTGGGCCGAGTTGCAACATCGTGCTCAGTCACGCTGACAGCTTAAGATTGCAGAAGTGCACGTTCGCAGTTGACCTGCGTGCCAGGAGCCTGGAATTGCGCCACCGGATTGCCCGCAGGCCCTGACAGACAAGTTTGGGCAGAAGGATTCAAATCTCTCGCAGGTCGCGCTGAAGCACATGCGCGCCATCAATGCGGGCATTCAGCGTCAAATACAGCAAGAGGCCTGCTTGCCATCAGCACTTGAGCATGGTCACGGTACTTGACTTTGCTCGAGAAGTCAATGTTTTTAGCACGTCGCAGCCTGCCCATCACTCACCCGAGTCACAAGTGCCAGATCTCCATGGTCTTCCACTGCCGAGCGAAATATGCTGAGGAGGTGGTGTCCTTGGCTTGGCCGTTTTTTTGGGTCCACGTTGATTTTGTTTTGGTCCGCTTCGTATCTGCTTTTCTGTTTTGGTTTGTTGCTGGCTCAGGCATGCTGGCTTAGTTTTTGCAGTTTTTTGAGGAGCATGGACATTTGATAGCACTTTGGTAAAAGTGATGCTATATCCTTTTGTGCCATCAGGTGGGAGATCCAGTTTCTCCGGGGCATTGCACTCAGCAGGGGATGAGAAGCGGACGGTTGCTCACAAGTAAGTGCCTTGACCAGTCCCGTGTACAGCTGAAAACCGCTAGCCATACTTGCATGAGGCATCCGTACCTGGTTGCCTACTTGGATTGGTTTGCAGGACGCTCTTCATCGGAGTATGAGGATGAGAGGCGCATGTGTCAGCCTTTGCGTACCCTCCGTCTGCAGGACCCACGGGCATGGATAGGGAAGTGTACTTGGTCTGCGTCTCGAAAGAGAGGAGTTACCCGATGAGGAGGGTGAAGTGATGTGAGGTGTTTAGAGATTTGGACTCAGGTGATGGAGCTCTGTTCCTTTAGCTTGGCTGATATGATTTTTGCTGCAGGCCGGAAGACTGGAGCGCACAACAATTGCAGCTGCTTCATGAGAATTAGCCACTAGAAAAGGCAATCTCCGTACAGACTTTGAGAAGTTGTTGGCTGCGCAGCGGCGAGCACGCGGCTGGACGCTCTGATGGCAGCAGAGGGCTCAAGTGGTTCATGTGGAGAGCCTCAGGTACTGTTCAGGCTGGGGTTTCTGAGAGTGGAAGTCGGGCTCTTACCCTGATGCTAATCTGTTGCCTGCCCCATCTTTGCTCCTGCGTCTTCAGGCCCTGTTGCAAAAGTCCAGTTGGACTCGGGCCGCTTCCGCTTTCCTGAGCTGGAGGTGCTTCAGGTGCAGGGTGCTGTCCTGGTGAAGCAGGCTAGTTTTGTAGACATCTTGCTGTTGGATGGAGGTGCTGCGGAACTTGCTGTCGGCCCTTGGTTTTCTGCACCGCCACGGCATTGCCCACAGGGAGCCAAGGCTGTAAGGGGCAACAGTAAATTTTGAATGGGTTTTGAACATTCTGATGGGTTCAGATCTAGAAAGTCAGAAGAATTGTAACATTGCCATGCTGCAATGTGGTCTGACCTCAAGGTCACGGTGCAAAGGTCTTGAGGCCGTCATACAGGAAGCTGCATTGATGACATAAGTTATCATAAGTTACAATGGACACAATTAACTATCAGTATTGCAATGCTGTTCTGGCTGTGATTATTGCTCGCGCTAGTTTCTGACATGCCGCTGACATGCCGAAAGACTAAGTAGAGCAGAGCACGATTGTGGGGCAGGTTGAGTAGAAACAAATCGGAGCGACATACATGAGTTTTGATTCCTCGGCTTCTCACGCAAGACGGAGATAGTTTGTGCATTCAAGACGTGGATGCGTTTTCTTGCCACATGCTTCAAGCTCAACGGGTTGTGACGTTGATAAATGTTGTACCCCAAATGTAAGATGGTTCTGAATGTGCTGTGCCAATGTTGCAGGCGCTCAGACGTGGACCTTAGACTTGAGGCTTAAATCATTTTGGTCCAAATCCAAAGTCCTCAATTTCACTTCCACATGACGAGCAAGACCGGCGGGCAGACCTGGCAGCCACGTCGGTGTTGCAGATGATCATCGGGTTGAAACAGGAAGTGCTGTAGCCAGGCTGGCGGGTGTTCTGTTGCAGGCTTCCCTGTCAGTATCCTAGGATGTGAAGAGCGAGAACATTTTGTGGGCTCAAGGCCCGGGCCTGAACAGATTCGAGAAATGCGCGGGAGTCAATGGGCGTTTTGGATCGCCGTGACCTCCCAGGCTGTTACAAGCTGGCAGATTTTGGCACAGCTGTGCTGCTTGAGGAGGTGCTGAATCTTCTTAGAAATAGAAGGAGAGATCCATTCGTTGCAAGACTTACTGTGTTGAAGGCGGCGAGGCGGCGAGATGAGACCGGCACCCTGTGGTGCGCTTGGGGATGGGCGGTTTGGCAGTTTTCTTTGGAAGAACTTGACTTAGCAAGAGCGCGTGCTAGCTGGAAGAAGCACACTTCGCTGTAAACAGCATCAGCACTTGCACCAGGATCATGGCCCCAGAGCTGTTGGGTCGGCGGCCATATGGACTTAACTGTGATCTTTGGCAGGGACCTTTGTGGAAGGAGTCGTGTGACAACCTTGTTCAAGCGCCTCGCTGCGCCCGGTATTTTTCCCAAGTTAGAGATGCGAAGCAGTGCAGTGTGTGGCTTGGACTCAACAAGATGTCACCACCTTCTTTCAAGGTCGCTGGGGGTTGTACTTTTCGAGGCCTGCGCTCTCATAGCATGAATGCTCTGCTTTGACAGCATCTCACGTACAACGCAGACTGGATCTTGCACTCTGTGATACTCTGTGCCTGGAGGTTGCAGCGCTCTCCAAGCCCTTCAACTCGAAGGACTACGCATCGCGTCCTCGCATGTTCGTACACCTTTCCGATGTTGCCTCCCTTCATGGGATGGTAGTTGCGATCGAAGTTACCTTCCATAGACTGTGCTATGAAAGATATAGGTCCGCACATGTTCCAACTAAACCCTCCGCCAGGATTCGTGAACTTTGGGATTGCTGACCAAGTTGCTGATTGATTTTGTTATACAGACGTAAAAGAAGTTGCAACTGTCTAGAACTTGTTCTTGGGATCCTCAAAATCTTCAGCAAGCCCGTGAACTAAGTTCATTAGCTCACGGAGTCACGCAGGTCAGACCATCTTCCAGAAGAAAATGCCTTATCGCCACAGCACCCAGCTAATTTCATCCTTACTGACCCAGATGACCCCAGAAAGAGCGCATCAAAACTGAAGTGTCATGAGCATTTTTCAAGTTACTGTAGATATCATGTCTCTTTGATGGAGGTCATGGTGTTGAAGCCGATTTTTGACAAATCAAAGATACAACTTCACCACTGGCTTGTGTTGCTGCTCTTGGCAGCTGTTTGCATTTGCGATTCCTTGGCTCGGTGTTCCAGGAATTGCTGGCGTATCGCAACTCACAAGAGGCCTGGGTCCCATATCCCAAAAAGTCCAGCCAGATTTCTGAACCAAAGCCAAGATGACTCAGCCTGATAAGATCAGCTCCAGAATTAGGTGTTGGAAATAGCACTTGCAAGCGGTCTGAAGCGCGAGAGGCTCTTGCTCCCAACAGCTTTTGGCCCTTCATCCTCGGAGCTTCTGCTGGTCCCTCTGGCACGTTGCTCACAAACATGTGAGCTTCTGTGGCGCTTTGCGTGGACATGAAGCAGGTGGCACGCCCACGGCATCCCCTTCCCGAGGATGCAAGGTGCCGGGGTTTTGTGTTTGGCAATGTTTGTTGCGCATGCGGATGATCTTTCCGGGAAAATCGGGGGAAGGCCAGAAGCGGTTGGCGGGAGTCATGTGCTGCGCTTTCAGGCGATACCGTCCTTGCCGACCCACAAGTCGTCCAGAGATGTGATGAGGCAAAGTGCAAACCAATGCAGATTTCAGCTGTACTTGCTCCGTGCTGCAGGTCCAATTCCACTGCGCGCCTGTAGCTGAGCATGGAATGAATTCTCTTCTGACCCAGACACATGCTCAATGTGCCTGCGTTCCTGCCAATTCTGCTTGCTTGCTGGGCTGAGGGCCTCAGCGGAAGGAGAAACGCAGTGTGGCTGCAGTCTAAGCTGTATCACTGGCATAAATCAGAACCAGTCTTGATTGGCTTGGCACCCTGAGACCTTGCCTCCTCTGTCCTCGTGCCACAGAGAGGCACGGGTAGAACACGTTTAGCAGCATGACCTGCAATAAACTGCTACACTTGCAAGATTTTGCTGGCATTATTCTGACTCTCCATGCATAAAAGGTCCGTCTAAGTGTCAAAATTGCAAATTAGTATCTCTAAATCCACCGGATTCGCACTGGATTCATTCAATGCTGGAGTCATGGTCTTGGCAATTCTGCAGAGGGGCTTGTGGAAATCCTGTGTTCAAGCCATGCCGCGGAAGCTGTTTTGCGAACCCCAGCAAACTGGCAAACACGCCGGAAAAAGCAAATGGCTTGGATGTCCAGATGCCTTCCCTAAGCCCAGAATCCGAATTCAAGTCTGTCTTCGCTGTCTACTGCGATGCAGAGCGAACCCTGGCAGTTGCAGGCTCCACAGACCACTCTCTGCCCAGCTCCGGTCGAATCCTTTCTCTCTTTCGCTGGTTGTGCTGGCGACACTCTTCAAGGGTATCCGTGCCCCACGTCTCTGAGCTCATGAGGGACACACATGTAACCTCTGAATACTCGACATGTTATGTGGACAGTTATCTTCTGTCATGGCTGTTTCTGCTGGCATGCCCATGCACTGTGGGAATCTATTGCCTGGGCAGGTTTTTGCCAGTGGCATCAAGTAATGTTTGGAGAAGGTATCGCATGTTGTGTTCGGACAAAAGAGCTTGACAGGCATGCCAAGCAGACGAGTGCCGCAAGCCCATTCTTGGTTGTGCTGGCACCTCCCGGCAGCCTAGTACGGCCTCGCGTGATTAGACTGAGGCTCTTCTGTGGAAACCTCGGCATGTTTTTCGGTTGATGGCAGAAAGGTGCGAACTCTCTGGAGCCAGGACGCTCTGCATGAGCGACGGCTGGCCTTCCTGAAAAAGCGCTGCAGCTTCCGGTGGATTTACACTGAGGACCTTCAGGGAGCTTCAGCTCGGCCCATGTACAGACACGGCCTCATCCAGCCTCTCATTGCTGTAGGGGCCAGCATGCTGCGAAACCGATCCTGCGGCAGACAGGAGCTGAAGAGCCTCATCTTCGAAGACTTGTTGAAGCCTTGACACGCTTTCTTGTCCTTGCCGCAGTGTGGAAACTCACAGGTTGCAACACCGCTGGTGTCATTTGTGCCACGTCTCTTTGACATTTGCTACTTGCAAGCTTTGCATATCTGCCATGTCCGCCACTGCGTGCCAGGTGTGAGGATGCGGAGCACCGCTCGACAGCTGCTGCCCTTGAGGAGCGTCACCCCTGTTGTATGATTTGAATCAAAGTTTAATGCCATGGCTTTGTGTGGAAGCCGTAGAAAAACCAGCTGAGCCAAGCAGCCAGCTCGTTTGTTGAGTTGCTTTCTAGCCTTTTGTGTGAGGAAAGCGCTGCCCTGACAAGCCTGGCAGACAAAGCTGCTGCCCAGGCCTTTGTTGGCCTTTGTGGGGTCTCGATGAGCTGCTGGGCTGCTTTTTTTGAACCTTCCGGCAGGTGCTGCCGGAAATTCCTCCCGAAGCTCAAAGCCCGGAAGAGCTGCTGAGGTGGGCAAAAGTGATCCTGAAGCGAACCTTGCAACCTTGCATGCATTCTCCAAATTTTGTTTTCAGATGTCAGTGATGTTAGGTGTGTTTGCGCGGAGAACATGTTGCGGGCTTTGGCTGCATCGCGCAAAGGACAACGACATCATAGCTTTTTTTCCCCTCCTTCCCATTCGCCAAGTCCCGATGTAGCTGGTGCAGACATGTGCAGACATGTAGCGCATGCCATCATTTTGTTTTCCATGGCTGGTTTGAGTTTGAGGACAAGCAGCGCCAGAGTATGCGCAGCCCTTGGAGCAGGACCTCGCCCAACAGGATATTCGAAGTCTGATTTGACCTTATGTAGAAGTGAGCTGGTGCTACCGTGATGACATTTGCTGCCTTTTTTGTCATTAGGCGCAGCCGCCGACATCATGACTTAGCGGTGAAGTCGAGTTGCAGATGTGAATGTCTCAAACATAATATGTAGAGATGTTGGATAGGAGGCTGTCCAACCGCTTTATTGATCATATTACTTCGGTGCACTTCCTTTGCAAGAAGTGTGATCTGAATCTGCACCATCAGGCAGCAGCTGTAGTGATCATTTATGCTGGAGCAGTTTGAAGCAGGTCTTCATCTCTCTCCCTGGACGTTTCAGATGAATCAGTTATCTTGGTCAGCACGTAGGAGTATCCCTGAGCATCCTGAGCTCATACAAAGAGGCATTTCTCCAACGAGATGTGGCCGAGAGATCTGCTCCAAGATGAATAGCAATGCTGCGACTGACATGGCCTAATTACATGGCTTTGTGTTTGTTAGCCTTATACCATGAGAGTGTTTTTGCATGATTCCTTTCTGAGTGCATGTGGCAGGGCAAAAGCCAGTCCTTCTCGCTTTAGTCTAGATCATGCACCAAAGGTGCTTGCTACCCAACTAGAGCGAAGCCTGGAGGCAAAAAAAGTTTGGTGTTTGTGGAAATGCGCACAAGACTGCAAGCCTGATCCGAAGGTGAGCAAACAAGACTGCCACGAGCAACACCAGCTCGCATGTGAGAAACATGAGGACCAATATGAGCATGGTGATGAAGCTCCGACTCACGCTCCTCCGCGGCAGCTTTTCCAGGATCGGCAATGCTCGAATAACGGGCTGTTGCTGTCCTAGTCCGATCACTCGCATCAACTTTAATAAGCCCTGCCAATGCGACCCCAGGCTTACTTAGGAATGTTGTGAGGATGTGAGCACCATGGGTGTGGGCTGCAGCCGTGAGTTCTGCTCGGCTGCGGTGCTTTGGCTGGAATGCAATACGAACGCTGGCTTTCATCCGCAGAGGTGTTCATCAAACCTTGCACAGAAGCTGCTACTGGCTACTTAGGATGTGTATGACTGCTTTTGGAGTCTTATGTTGGTAATTATTTGTCATATGAGTCATATGAGGTTTTCATTGTCAGGTCCAAGCAGCGACGTGCTGCTGAGGTTTAATAGAGGATGCTCAGGAAATTCCAGGTTTGTCATGCCCTTCCGCGTCCATCACTTTTAACGTATTTGGCAACAAGAAGCTGAGCATCAGGCCCGGTTAGGAAGCGGCACCTGTGGCGATGGGTTGAAGAGCGATACTTGGCAATCATTAGTTGTTATGAAAGTCCACATGCATCTTCCGCGAGTGTTTCTTTTGGATGATGATGCAGTTGAAGATAGCCGTCGGGCAGACTTGACTAGGTGGTGGAAGGCGAGCTTAAGCTGCTGAGGAACCGGTGGAGATTGTGGATGAAGGCATGATCACCACTGGTGACGACTGGCTTCGGTGCCTGGCCGGCAGGATGAAGTGCAGGCCTTTGGCATGCTTGGATTTTCGGTTCTTTTTTTCAGGCAGAAAGAGGCTCGAGACCAGCATCTGCGTGGTAGAGGCACGGCAAACCTCAGCATTGTGGGAGACCTGGCTTAGATCTGCATCATGAGTGACGCAACAGCCACCCTGTCATAGCAGAAACCCTAACACTGAATGTCCTATCTTAAGCTACCTTGAACAGACGGACTTCATGACTTCTATGCGGAGGTCTGCCCGCCAGGACTTACACCAACATGTTGAAGCATTTGTACTGCTTCCTGGTTGCTTATATGAACTTGGAAGATATGACAAGGGAGTTTGTGTGAGGAAAGTGCCCACAGCATATGTGTCACAGAAGGAGCGCCTGCGCCTCATGATGGATTCGCTAAGTATTGACTAGTTCAGAAGATCAACCCCTCCGGGATTTCAACAGTTTCAACGTGTTGGGCCCATGTTGTGTTGGTAGACTTTGGGCCTGGCCAGGTGCCCTCCGACTTCGAAGAAGAGCTTCAGTATGCCAAGCTGACTTTGCAGCTCCCAACGATCTTAGGCGCTCCCTTGCGTTCAAGTTGTGAATGAGCTTTGATGCACATTTGCTGCAGGGGAGAAGTCGAAGCAGCCTCGCCCAAAACAGTTCTTTCCAGAGGCCCTTGCAATCAGAAGCATCCGAGTTTGCAAAACCTTTGCAGACACATTGAGCTTTTACCTTAGCTCATTGCTGGATGCGTATGTAGGGCAACGAGTTGGTTGGACCTGTTTTAATCTTCCTGGCAGCTTTTTTGGTCTGTGAAGGACTCAGCTGATTGTGAGCGACCGGCACGAATACGTGCTGGTGAGGTGCAATTTGGCGAAGCTGTGGGTCAGTGAGCGCGACTTTTATGCTTTTTCCAGGGTGCATTTCCACCGGGCCTGGCTTGGTGCGACGTGGAGCTGTCGGAGGTTGATGTGGAAGTTGAGGTGCGCTGTAGAAATTGGGCAATGCGAGTTGTGCAAAGGTTTATGTGAGAGCTTGTCGCTTTTGGCATAGCAGATGCAGCCCTCGAAAGACAAAGTCCAACTTGGGGAGTGCTCCCAAAAGCAGCTGAAAGTGCCCTCGAGCCAGTACGGCCACATGAGCAAGCCATAGAACGCACACTGGCATTAGCATGGAGAGCCCTCTTGACGAGAGCTTTTTCATGTACCCTCTGAGAACGAGTGGGGGCGCTCTGAAGCCCACTGTGAGACTCGCCCCAATCGTGCCGAATCGAAATTGTTGAAAATTCATCCAAGCGAGGCTGAGAGTCTGGTGTGACAGTTGTGGTAGGAGCTGAATATGGAAGCCGGAAGTTTTGCGTTGGTGATCAAGCATGCACGACCCTGCAAGTGCTGGCGCAAGCAGCGCGCTCCAGCACAAAGGTTGACTCTGAGCCTTAAGATCCCAGAATCCGTGAAAGCATCGACTCATTGACAGTGATGTCCCTGCAGCCCGCCCTGGCGACTCCCGGCGGTCGTCTGGATTTCATGGCACGCTCGCAGCTGTCTGCCCGAGTCCCTCGGCTTTTGGCCTTTCTCGCAAGACCATTTCACCTTGACCTTTGCATCCTCCATATTCCTTCACATCCTTCAGCTTCAGCTTCATGAAGGTGGCTCTACGCTGCAATGGTCAAGACTTTGCGCCACTTGGTTTCACCTCGTTGGACTTGTTGCCAGAGGAAAGGAGTAGCAAGCATAGCCAACGCAGCTTGAACAAGGTCTTTCTGCCCGGGTCCATCTTACAAGCTCTTCAGCTTCCAGTGCCCTTCCGAGGCATTGCTTGCGTCGATACTTGCATCGTGTTGTGAGGGGCTCCAGCTTCCATTGCCCGAGGGTTCTGTTGTTGATGTCGGCTTCTATCAAGAAATTCACACAGTGAGACACGCATTGATTTTGAAGTACTTTGCATCCTGATTTAGTAGTCTACTACCGACGTTGAGAGTGATGTCAGCAGGTCTTCTGAGAGTTGGACTTTGGATTGTATGCTCAAAGCGTGACAGCCCTGATACATCTTGTTGATCTGGTGTGCAGGCTCATGTGGGCTCTATCGAGGTGTGCCTAGAAAGCAGCCAGGAGGCACGTTGATGGAACAAGCTGACACTCGAATGCTCACCGTCAACCATCCCTTCGAAGTGCACAGCTGAAGTGCGCTTTTGAACCAGACGACGGCTGAATGTCAGTTTGGCCAGGCTTCCCTGCAGCTGAGTCCCAGCTATGGGCTGCGTCTTCACGACAAGGAGCCACGATGCTCTCATGCTGCGACTTCTGCGAAGGCCGATGCCTCTTTCATTTAGCCATCGCTTGGGAGGACTTGCAGCTGGCCCTCTCCGTCCATGGCCAGCCAGCAGCAGACGCTAGGCTGCACAAACCATTGCAACCATACTTTCACGGATTTGGGAGTTTGTAGAAACAGCCAGAAATAAATATACATATATATATATACATGGATGTCTATACGTATATATGTACATATATATATGTATACAGGTTTTCCGATGTAGTCCTGTAACAATGTAGTAAAATCCTCTTTTCAAGTGTCGCCGAAAAGCGATCCCTCGTTTTTGGAAACCCCTGAAATGTCAAGGTAGGTCGGTGTTTTTTTAGTGCATGCGGCCTTGTCTGTAACATTTGGCAGATGGCATGCTTTTCAGGACGATGTCAAGGACATCGAAGACCTGGCAGCTTTCACATCAGCCTTGTCGATTCAGGCATGACGATGCCAGGGGCACGATCTGACTGAGATTTGGGCTTCGCTGGAAGTTAGGCCGCGCAGCTTGGCTGCCTGCAATCGCTGCCTCGTGGGCTGAGCTTTCGTGCAGAGAAGGCCTGATACCGCCTGCTGCCATTGACACGATGCTCTTGAAGTTACCCTCACCCTGCCACAGTTGCTGTGTGAACATGGTACTCTTCTAGTTGTGAAGTAAAAGCCTTGCCCATGAGCAACTACTAACGTTTGGTGCTCCGCTCAGAGCATAGCCTTCATGGCCTTCGGCCGCACTGGTGCCGAAAACATGGACGCCTCTCGGCCAGAAAAGAGATAATTTGTTGTAGTGTTATGTTGCTTCTAAGCGATTTCGTTTGGGGGTTCCTTAACGCAGGGTACCTCCCACCCTTGGGATAATACTCTCCAAATAGAAAATCAAGCTTTTGTTTTACGTTCTTAGGAATGTGTTCATTCCTTTATTTGGAGGGGAGGAGAGAGTCCTGAAAAGCAAGCTCTTGTTGGCCCGGCAGCATCCAATACATGGAACCTGCATCGTGGCCGCACGCGAAAGAGCATAGAATTTGGTTATCAGTCTGCATGACTGTCAAAAAAACAGCAGGTTAGCTCAGCGTCTGAAAGCTACAAAAGACACATCATCAAATATGCGCATGGTTACAAAACTGCGATACATATGGAAATGTAGAATTAGCTTGTAAGAAACAATGAAGGTACAGATCAGGGTAAGGCAGAAGAAGTTTTAAGGTAAATCAATGACCAAGAGAAAGACAGCCACACGAAATGGCACGATAGCAAGGGAACATGATTAACAAAAAACACACACATAATCGTACCAAATACAAGAGAGAAACAGTGGAAGCAAAAGCAAATCATACAATG